TTGTTAAGTGTCCCTGTCTAGTGGGTTCAGTAGCCTTCAAGATTTTCGTCGACCAGAATCTTTTTGTTGCTGGACTCTAAAGTTATCTAGATGCCATTTAACAAACTGTTATTTTACGAGATCTCCATAGCTTCTCACTAGAATTAAATAACTTCCAGAGTAGTATTATCTCATACCTTCTGGTATAGCTGATGACACTAAGTATCTAACCCATGCACTGGGATGAAGATAATGATGTACTAAATGATTCATAGTTCAATCATGTTCTGTTTTTGACGCCTGATTTGGTTCATAGTTCAATCATGTTCTGTTTTCGAAGCCTGATAAATCGTAGCTAACAGATTTCTGCCAGCATATACATCTGCAGGAGCCAAAATTGCATTTCTGATCTAAAAAATTTAGAAAGCTGAGATGGATTCTGATTCAGAGACAGTGGTGCATACTGGAGGGTGCCATTGCAAGAGTGTGAGGTGGAAAGCAGTAGCTTCCTCTAGTGTTGTGGCTTGGGAATGTAATTGTTCAGACTGCTCCATGAGAGGGAATACAAACTTCGTTGTGCCGGCCGAAAAATTTGAGCTTTTGGGAGATTCAGAGAAGTTTATCACAACTTACACCTTTGGCACTCACACTGCTAAGCATACATTCTGCAAGGTCTGTGGTATAACCTCATTCTTTCACCCACGCTCAAACCCAGATGGAGTTGCTGTTACATTCAAGTGTGTTGACCCTGGCACACTGAAGAATGTTGAAATCAAGCATTTTGATGGAAGGAATTGGGAAAGCTCATATAGTCGAACAGGTATCTCTTCTTGTTCAAAGGTGCAGAGGTAACTTCTTGTTACTCTCTTATCAGTTATGGATTGTAGTCTATTCCCAGTTACTGTCAAGATTTCGTGTGTATGGTTGTATCAAAAATAAGATCATCTTTTTATGGTCAAAGATGCAGGGATACACTCTATTCATGTCAAAATTGTTCCCCTTTTCCCTTCGTACACAAAGGTTACCTTTATTTTAGCATCTCGACTGGGATTGTGTTGTCAAACAGTATTCCCCCCCCCCGGTTTGTTTGTTGCGCTCTCTTTGCAGAATCCTTATAGTTCAACCAATGGTTGGAAACTTGCCTCTATCAGTTTAAATTAAAAAATAAGTAACCTCTCGAATTTGTTGGTCCAAGTTCACTATATACTTGAGTCCTTCGCCTGGCACTCACAATTTGAGTGGGACTCTAAAATGGCATGCAACTTCCATCACTCTCACATATAGCACTTACGGGGCAAAAACCTATCGGTGAGGTTGGAGCAAGCTTTCACAATCAGTTGGACAAGAACCCAAATATACACGAGTTTTACAAAGCGGTGCTCTTACATTGCATAGTAGGACAAAAGCCTAAAATAATTTTGCTTCCAACATCCAAGAAGCTTTGGCCAACCAGTGTCTTACATGACATGGACGCAAAAAACATAAATGCTTATTTCCATTTGGACAAAGACAATATCTAAACTTCACTTCTTCAATAGCATAGCACTGTATTGCGCCATTATCTTTGATGCCCGGGTTATTGAATCAGTCATATAGAACTTCTCAACAGCAATCCCGAATGGTGTCGCACTGACTTTCTCAGCGACATCGGGTTTAGCAAAGATGAAAATGCAGCCGGTTCTCTCTCATCCATGTGCACAAGATTTGGTGCAATGGTCTTGATTCGGGCATGGATGGACGCGGCGAGTAGCGATACATGAAACGTGGACACCCCAGTACTTGGCCAGATGTCAAGAAGCCAACCTACCAGTGTCCCTCCTATTATATAACTAATAATAATAACTACAAACAAAAGAGGTGTTTGGTTCAATGAAGGAAAGGAAGGAAGGATTTTAAAAAGAAGGAGAAGAAAATACGAAAGGGATGGGAGGGATTTTAATAGAAAGAAAAGGGAAGGGAGATATTTTATAAGAAAAAGAAAAAAAAATGAATAGAAGGAATTTTATGGAGAAAAAAAAAGAAAAAAGTTTTAATATTATTTTCTTGGTTCTTTGTCATTATTTTATTTGGTTCAAAATTTGTATGTTTAACAAAATTAATTATAAATGACATTTAATCTATAAGATCACAATTTAGTAATTATTAAAGTCGAATAAATATAAATATAATATCCATATGGGAGTAAAAATTGACATCGTTGGCCAAAAAAATGACATCTTTATTAACTAAAAACACGATGATAAATGGATCAAGGATTATTCACTAATCTTAAATAGTGTGATATTTTTTACTTATCAATAATTTAATGATAAACTTAGTAGTTCGCTGCACAAATTTTAACTATATCAATCCCCTATTGAATCGCACTGAGGAATTATAGCATGTTTTAATGCTTTTTTTTTTTTTAATTTTTGGCCACCAAAGGAAACTTGATTAAGTAAAATTAAACCAGTATAAAAGTCCAAAACAAATAAAACAAAACACCTAAACGTAACCACATCAGCACCATCCTTGAAACTGACGAACCCCAGTATGGATCTGAATATTTCTCATATCCCCAGCCATTAGTTCGTAATATAATTTTGTCTAATTTCCCACATCGTTTGCTTTTGAATTTACGGATGAGAATTAAGAGAAATTGAGGTATGAAAATAGAAATTGTTAGCGCCGCGAGCTGCCACGAAGCACGACCATGTCACACAGGGTGACAGGGAGGAGTGGCTGAAGAGAATGAATGGGAAAAAAGTTTTAAAGATCGAAGGACAACGGTGGAATATGCAAAACTTGTTATGGCCAATTTTGTCGTGATAGGAAAATAGTTTCTTCTTCTTTCAAAAAAAAACTCCAAATTTGAATGGAGAGAAAGTAGGATTGGGACATAGATAAAGACACAAAATTTTTCCTTCCCTTCTTTTTAATTTTTTCAACCAAACGTACTTTCTTCCCACCTCCCCTTCCTTCCCCCTACCTCCCCTAAAAAGAAACCCAACCAAACACCACCCAATAGATAGATGGATTTTAAGCTCTCGCGTCCCCAACTGGATTCTGGAACATCAATGGTGGGCCTTGGTCTGGAGGAAGGATAGAATTGTAGGAAAGAAAGAGAATTTATTGGTCAACACAATCAATTACATAATTCTATCACAATTCATAGTCAATTGATGAAAAGAAAAATCATTTGAGAAAAGAGCGAGCTCGTGGTCATCTCTTGACTGGATCACTGGAATATCAGATGGGAAACATGACTATGTTACATGAATGTTTGTTTTATTCAGGAACTTCAGATATTCATTCGATATTAATAATAAAAAACTCTTTAGGAAGACAAAGCGAAGAAGGCTTTGTCAAGTGAAGTTACGACTATAAAAGCTTTTATAGCGACCCAGCAGGCGAACATCTGAGGGCAACGTCTCTGCCTTGCTTCTCCGTCTTCAATTGTGAAGGGCCATTAATATATGTACAGCAAGTTTTTGTGCAGGAGGGTCATAAATCCTTGACTCATTTTTATCGTACTTGTACAATCGTAGCTTAGATCTTCGATGAAAATAACTATAGATGTTGATGAGCTTACAGCTTACAAGTTCCAACCCATCATCACCCCTACAATTAAACTGTTTTAGCTCTGTTTTGCTGGAAATATAAACGCTTTTGTTAAGTGTCCCTGTCTAGTGGGTTCAGTAGCCTTCAAGATTTTCGTTGAGCAGAATTTTTTTGTCGCTGAACTCTAAAGTTATCCAGATGCCATTTAACAAACTGTAATTTTACGAGATCTCCATAGCTTCTCACTAGAATTAAATACCTTCCAGAGTAGTATTATCTCATACCTTCTGGTATAGCTGATGACACTAATGATGTACTAACCCATGCACTGGGATGAAGATAATGACGTACTAAATGATTCATAGCTCAATCATGTTCTGTTTTTGAAGCGTGATAAATTGTGGCTAACAGGTTTCTGCCAACATATACATCTGCCGGAGCCAAAATTGCATTTCTGAGCTAAAAAATTTAGAAAGCTGAGATGGATTCTGATTCAAAGACCGTGGTGCATATTGGAGGGTGCCATTGCAAGAGTGTGAGGTGGAAAGTAGTAGCTTCCTCTAGTGTTGTGGCTTGGGAATGTAATTGTTCAGACTGCTACATGAGAGGGAATACACACTTCATTGTGCCGGCCGAAAGATTTGAACTTTTGGGAGATTCAGAGAAGTTTATTACAACTTACACCTTTGGCACTCACACTGCTAAGCATACATTCTGCAAGGTCTGTGGTATAACCTCATTCTATTACCCACGCTCAAACCCAGATGGAGTTGCTATTACATTCAAGTGTGTTGATCCTGGCACACTGAAGAGTGTTGAAATCAAGCATGCTGATGGAAGGAATTGGGAAAGTGCATATCTTCAAACAGGCATCGCTTCTTATTCGAAGGTGCAGAAGTAATTTCTTGTTACTCTCAATCAGTTATGGATTGTACTCTATTCCCAGTTTCTGCCAAGATTTCGTGTATGGTTGTATCAAAATAAGATCATCTTTTTATGGTCAAAGGTGCAGGAATACATCTATTCGTGTCAAAATTGTATGGTCCAAAAATCATGTCAAAATTGTATGGTTGCATCAGAAATAAGATCATCTTGTTATGGTCAAAGGTGCAGGAATACATCTATTCATGTCAAAATTGTATGGTCCGAAAATCTTCCCTTTTCTTTTCGCACACAAAGGTTGCTTTTATTTTAGCATCTCGACTGGGGTTGTGTTGCCAAACAATATTCCCCCACCCATTTGTTTGATGCGCTCTCTTTGCAGAATCCTTATAGTTCAATGAATGCTTGGAAACTTGCGTCAGTCGCTGTTAAGATTGGTTAAATTAAAAACACAAGTAACCCCTCGAATATTTTGGTCCAAGTTCACTATATATACTTGAGTCCTTCGCCACTCACAATTTGAGGGGGACTCTAAAATCGCATTCAACTTCCATCACTCTCACATATAGCACTTACGGGGAAAAAACCTATCGGTGAGGTTGGAGTAAGTTTTCACAATCAGCTGGACAAAAACCCAAATGTACACAAAAGAGTTTTACAAAGTGGCGCTCTTACATTGCATGGTAGGACAAAAGCCTAAAATAATTTTATTAGGTACTTCCAACATCCTAGAAGTTTTGGCCAACCAGTGGCTTACATGACATGGAAACGAAAAATCATAAATGCGCATTTTCATTTGGACAAAAACAATATCTAAACTTCACTTCTTCAATAGCATAGCACTGCATTGCGCCATTATCTTTGATGCCCGGGTTATTGAATCAGTCATATAGAAATTCTCAACAGCAATCCCGAATGGTGTCGCACTGACTTTCTCAGCAACATCGGGTTTAGGCAAAGATGAAAATGCAGCCGGTTCTCTCTCATCCATGTGCACAAGATTTGGTGCAACGGTCTTGATTCGGGCACGGATGGCACTAATCGAATCATAAGGCAACCGTAGTCCAGCAACCTCAGACATGGCCCGAATTATCTTCCAATCATCCCTGGCATCACCAACTGTTGGAACTGCAGGCAACGTTTGTTGAACGCATCCTTCAGTGTTTTCATATGTACCTTCCTTCTCACTGAATGCCGATGCCGGCAAGATAACATTAGCACGATAGACACCTTTGTCTCCATGGTGACCTTGATACACAACAAAAGCATCTTTAGGGATCTGCTCCAAGTTCACATCATCAGCACCCATCAAGTAGACAAATTTAGCAGACTCGAGGCATTTTTCAGACCGGGGAACAAGTCCAAGGTCAAGTGCAGCAGCCTGAGCAGCATGGAGAAGCAACACATTAAGGCCATTCCAATCAGGCCTGACAACATTTCCATTTTTAGCAATAGCTTCAACAGCAGCGAAAACTGCATCCTTGTCCTTCCTCTCAAAAACCCCACCACCAACAACGATACAGGGGTTTTTGGCATTTGAGAGAGTCTTGGAAAATGGGTGACGGCCCTCAGCAATCTCAATGAGTGTTTGAGGTCCAGTACCAAGATGTTTGTGATCATAATTGAAATCAGTGGGAGGCCCAATGTAGCCAACCTTGGCTTGTGTTGCTTTGACAGTCTTTCGTATTCTGGCATTAACCATAGCAGCTTCTACCCGTGGCTACAAATTCAACAGTGAATCCATACAAGATAAGAAAACATAATTGACACCAGAAGCAACACAATTCAAAATGTTTTGAGTATCAAGGGAGATTAAAAATTACAATTAACGGACAGAAATGTACCTGGGTACCAACCAACAGGAAAACATCTGCTTTCTCAAGACCAGCAATGCCAGTATTCATAAGATACCCGGATCGCAAATCAGCATTAGTATCTACACCAATTCCTTCACACCATACATTATCAGATCCCATCCTGTTAATGAGATCTTTTAGTGCCATCATTGATTCAGCATCAGAAAGTCGACCTGCTATTCCAACAATTTCCTCTGGTCTAATTTGCTGGGCAATTTCTGCAACCACAGCAAGGGCATCACGCCAGCTGACAGCCTTAAAGCGCCCATCAGGTCCACGAATCATGGGATCATTTAACCTCTGTCTCTTCAAACCATCATAACAAAAGCGAGTCTTGTCTGAAATCCATTCTTCATTTATGTCCTGCATTGATAAGCACCGCAACCTTTTACTCAAACTGTGGGCAGAAACAAACATCCCCACCTTCGCACCAAATAATAGCAAATAAAAACAGCCCTAAGGTTTTCCAGATAGCAACAAATATTAACTATATGTTATAAGCTCAACCCCAGACCTTGAACCCAACGGACTAACATTCTTGAGGCTGCTCACTAGTTATTCAAAATTATAAAATGTAACAACCATAGCAGATACACGATATTGCTTTAATTAAATTTGTGTTAATTATAATCCCATCAAGTTCTATTGCTGGTCCATTTCCAGACTCGATTTACAGGGTTTAAATTTAAATTTCATCATCTTTGATTAATTTGGCGATGAAAAACAAATGTGCAATTTGTTATCCCTAGTCCCTACAGTTTGACTATAATCAACAGAGATGCTGCTACAGCCCACTGTCAGAGAGTAATTATAATTGTAATTCTCCTTCATCCATATCTAACCTCTTCCTACTGAGTTTACAGGTTGCCATCAAAAGTGAGAAGTCATCACGCATAAACCATCAAAAGCAGCAATATCATAATGCAACCGTTTGCATGACTTCCTTGAGAGCAAAAAAGATCTTATAGACATCATTCATTGCAATGAACATCCACACGATTTTCTACCAGAATCTAACCTCATTTAGACGAGGAACAATTCGCATGACTTCGGGTCCTCTGCTATCAATTCGAATATTAGACCCAACAGCATCCGTAACATCAATTGTCTCTGTTCCCTTTAACTCCCAATTCCGAGCTTTAAATGCAAAAGGTTTTGAGGTAAGAGCTCCCACAGGACAGATATCTATCACATTACCAGAAAGTTCACTCGTCATAAGCTTTTCAACATATGTTCCAATCTCCTCTCCACTGCCACGACCTAACATGCCAAGATCCTGAACCCCTGCAACCTCTGTTGCAAACCTAACACACCTGTTGGTCCGAAGAGACACTCAATTATATTACACATTTGACATTCAAGATACAAGAAAAAAATTGTTTCTCAGATGCTAACAATTAGATTTCAAACAAATGCCAACGTTTTAAACTGTAGAAGGTCAGACCCAAACGTCAAATTAAATTAGAATCAGCCAAACATAAAATGGAAGAAACCCATAAAAAAGTTAAGGACCAATTAGGAATAACTTATACGCAGCTTTTCAATCATGATTTATAGAATATGAGGTAAGTATATAAGATTAGTTTTGTCTCAAGCATACGTGAAATATGCTTATAAGTTATTTCAATCATGATAGCAAACAGGGCCTAATACTAGATAACCAAGGAAAAAATTACTTCAAAAATAAGGAGGAAGCTATTAAATTATAAGCAAAAGGGCCTGAATTAAAAACAGACAAATGAAATAAAATTTCAATGTCATTTTTATCTCCATCAATACAATGATATAAACCTATACAGAACATGGAGAGCTGCACCTCAGGACTTCACATATATAGAACAGGTACATCATTATGATCTCAATTCCAGCAAACTTTGATGAAATGCAAATTGAATTGGCAAATCTGCTTTGTCACAATCATAATGAACACTTATTCATTTGAAAGTGGGATTAACAACTCAAACTGAGATTATTAATTCTTACCGGACCATTCTAAGGCAACAAGACGAATTTCACTATTACTTAACTCGTAAGAAAAAACCCAAACAACATTTTTTAAAAAAATCGAAGCTATAATTAATTTCATACTCAAAATACAGGAAAAGATATAAAGTTTTGCAAATGACAACAATCACATTAATGGTAGAAGTGCTGCACACAGCTAACCTTGTACACTGAATACATCTGGTCATTACAGTCTTCACCAAAGGACCAAGATTTTTATCCACCACAGATCTCTTTACATCAGTGAAGCGACCACGATCAGAGCCAAATGCCATTGACTGATCCTGAAGGTCACATTCCCCACCCTGATCACAAATTGGGCAATCCAGTGGATGATTCATCAATAAAAATTCCATCACTCCTTCTCGAGCTTTCCTCGCCACAGGTGTGTTGGTCTTAATTTTCATCCCTTTGGACCAATATCTCATTAGATTACATTAAAAACAAAAAATCAAATGAAAAGGACTTATTGGAATCCCCAAGTAAAACCAAACGCGTGCACAAAACAAGGGAGCATGCGTGTGCACACCCATTGAAAATATTGGTATAAATCTAAATTAAAATATTAGAAGCTATCAGTAGATTCAGAAGGACAAACAGAGCATACAACGACTGATAACTTTATCTCCAAATTTCTCCATTATTAGAAAGACATAACTTGTCATCTATAATAACGAGAAATAGATAACACATTTACAAGATAGATCATTGTGTGACAATAAAGTCATAAATGATGAAGAGAACAGGCACAAATTATTTCGCTTTTTTAAAAATGAAAAAGCACAAATAAGAAGTAGAATTAACAAAAATGTCAGCAAAACAGTTAAAGAAAAAATTCAATCAAATGGTCAGAGCAGCTGGATTAGTGCTGCTTTCCTAGTATCATTAATATCTACAACCTACCAAAAAAATAAACGAATCATTGTTCAATTTCAGAGAGAGCGTTAAATTGTAAAGGCATAAACTAAGTTTGATCATATAAAACTAAATTTCATGCTCGTGAGAAATGAATATAAACAATAATTTGAAATTTGTGTGGCCAAAAACAGCAATTTTACTCTGATTGAGAACAAAATCGTACTCAAAATTACATCACACAACTACACGAGATAAGGGACAAAACAGAAGCAATCAAAAATAACCATGGCAAAAACTTCAGTAGTTGAAATTTGAGCTCTGACTAAATAATTTTTAGAATAAAACAAAAAATAGAAATAAAATTGGGGCGAATATCAGAATAGCTTACCAGGAAGAGCAGGCATGGCACAAGACGCAACAGGCTTGGGCGATTTCTCAACCTCAACGAGACACATACGGCAATTTCCAGCAATGGACAGCCGGCTGTGATAGCAAAAGCGAGGTATGTCGACACCGGCAACCTCGCATGCCTGAAGAACGGTCATGCCCTTGGGGATTTTCACAGGGTACCCATCTACGAAAACCTCAATGGCGTCCTCAGGATTTGGGAAGTGGACCCTGGCTCCGGCAACCGGGGTCCGCGGAGGGAGATCAACCGGTGGAGGCTCCGGTTGAGTTTGTGCCGCGGCACCTTCCGGCTTCTGCAGCTCCGGTTTCGTAACAATGGTTCTGATGAGGAAGTTTCTGGAATTCGGAGAATGCAGGATTCTAGAGGCGGGTCTCATGGCTCGGGAAGCTAACAAACCCAACCCCATTTTCTGTTTCGCCTTCTCTCTTCCTCAAAATGGTTACCGTCTCCAGTGTCCGATTTGAGGCTATTACTCGATGATCTCTGTTCGTTTTAGAATTTACAGACTTTGGGTAGGGGATGTGGCCGACGGGGTGATGCAGATTGCAAACTCAGACCTCACTCTTCAGTCCTCCCTCCCAAGAGAAATGATCGATAGATGGATAGTCCGATCCTCCGGGATGGGGGTCAAAAGTCAAATCTATCTATACCCGACCCGTAAGTCTGTAAGGGGGCAACTGGCAATACCTCTTTTTTTTTTTTTTCTTTTTTGTTGAATACTTGAGGGCCGTTTCAAAACTCGTTGAGAAATGTTAGATTTCAGATGGTACATCGTTCGGCCCAAAAAGTGGTACATCATTTGCAACAAAAAAAAGATGGAACGTCATCATGGGCTGGTATTCAAATTTTCACAAGAATAGGCATCCTGTTTAGAATAACGCCAAGATTCTTTCAAAAAAAAAAAGTTTTTAATTGTGATTTAAAAATATAAAGGAAATAAGTACTTTTAAGAATCTCAATCGTGATACCAAACAAGCACCTAGTATTAATGATACCTTAAATAGGATTATCGCTCATGCTTGTGCCTATAAAAGACACACCGTGGGCTGATAATATTTCTCAATATAATTCATGGAAGTATTAGAGCATATTGAAGTATTACTTCTACTAATTTACATGACTCCACATAGATAATTACTCTTTCAATTCTAAATGAAAGATTCATTTTGTAATGTAAATTATACTATAAAATTAGTCTTACTGTGACCGGAGTAGTATTTTCTTTTGCTGCATGCACAAAGTTAAATAGCATTGATTAAATTGTATTTTTACCTTAAAAGACTTTTTAGGAGTGATAAAGGTGACCCAAAAAATTATAAAATAATATAAAATATAATATTTTAAAACCAGTGTGATACTGTGAGTTTTAATCATTAATAATAATAATAAAAAAAACTTTTAGACCCACACTAACGGTTGAGTTAATAACTTAATATTGATTGTTAAAAAGAATAATATTACATTGATTTTGAAATATTGTATACTACATTATATCACAAATTTTCCCCAACAATATCACAATTCTTTTATTATATCTAGAGCTCACTCAGAAATATTTTTATAAACAATATTTAACGCTTAATTAATTATGCATATTATCCCTGTTTCGAGGTGTATGATTTAAGCTTTGAAGTCAGATTCATGGGCAGAGTAGGAATTTTATATTATTAAAAATATGATTCAATAGTCTTGGGATGTTTGATAACCAAAAAAAAAACAAATCTTGGGATGTTGAATCCTATTTTCTTTCCTTTCTTTTTCTTTTTTTTTTTGTCTACGTGAGGATTTGGGAGAGTTTATCCTTAATCTCTACCACTTCCTCTCCACCCACCTAAGCTAATCTTATGTGGTGGGGAGGATTTTTTTGTTTTTTGGCCTGAGTGGTGCGGAGGATCTAAGATAGAATTTATGAGGAGCTAAATTTAAAATTAAAAAATTAAGACACATAGACATATTTATTCCCTGCATTCTTAAATAGAAAATAAGTATGTACAGTGTAAATATAATTAAGAAAAATTATATCAAATTTTAAACTAGTTGGAAATATTTGCACCATTTCAACAAAATATATAGTTAGTCTTATCCATTTATTAACAATAATAGGCCAATTTAGCTAATGGGACGCTGAGGTTGAAGAAAATGATTCAAACCTGCGGGCAACGGAGAGAGGGGACTGGCAGGGGCTATTAAATCTCCTGTCCAAGCAAAGCAAGTGACTACTCACAAACGATGGCCATGCACAAATGATGTTCTGTCCAACCTGCGGACATAAGGATTTGTTTGGTTTTTTTGTTTTAACAACAATTTTTTGTTTTTTTTTAAAATAGAAAAACAAATTTGTTTGATAATTTGTTTTTAATTGATTGTTTTAAGAAACATATATAAAAATGTTTCTAGAAACTAAAACCAAAACATTCTCAGAATAACTCCAGATTTTATGTGGGAGGACCGAATTCATGAATATGTCGAGCCATTCTGGGTGATTGTGGAGGATAACGATAGGGAATATATTCTTCATCATGAGTATTTTATGCTAAAGAAACAGTATACTGATGAGGACCACACTCTCAACTTCATAATGCCGATTTATGAACCACTTCCACCTCAGTACTTTATTTTTGTTGTCTCTGATAGATGGCTTGGTTCATAAACTGTTTTGCCTGTTTCTTTCAGGCACCTCATCTTGCCTGAAAAGTATCCGCCACCAACAGAGTTATTGACGGAAATCTAAAGATGGTCTTAATTTGAGGGCGGTTGAATTGACGGAAGAAACAGCAACTGACTTGAAACTTCTTGAGAAAGGTCATAACATCAGTACCCCAGAGAAATGGGATGTTTTGTCCCGCCGCTGGAAGCAACAGAAACATATTCAGCAAATTAGCCTCTTCATAATCGGTGAGCTCCACTTAATTGGGGGTCAAGGAGGTCCTGTTTTGGAGGTGATTGTCTCCAGGATGAGATATATTGCCAGTCAAGTTGAAAACAAGATCCGTATTGATGCCTTGTCAACATCTCTTGCAAATGCAAAGGATCTGGGAGAACGGATTGGAGCTACATCTCATGGTATTTTTATTTCCCTCCTTGTGTTCGTCCTGCGCCTTTGGAAATACACATTCAGGGGATAGATATTGCTGAGTCTGAGGCAATGATCAAACCGACTTATACTGCAATTGTTCAACATGCCAGGAATGGGAAACCTGCTCTTGTTTTTGTACCAATGAGGAAGCATGTGCGGCTTTCAACTGCGGATCTGATGACATACTCTAATGCAGACAGTGAAGAGAAGCCTTTCTTATTGTGGCCTCCAGGAGAGCTTGAACCTTTCCTTGATGGGATTAAAGATGAAATGTTGAAAGTCACTTTACGACAAGGAGTGGTATACTTGCATGAGGGCTTGAGCAACATTGATCGTGAAGTTGTAACGCAGCTATTTGAAGCTGGGTGGATTCAGGTCTGTCTTTTGAGCAGCTCATTGTGTTGGGGAGTGACACTATCAGCCCATTTGGTAGTCGTGATGGGTACACAATTCTATGATGGACAGGAAAATGCATAGTCAGATTACCCTGTCACCGATCTTCTACAAATGATGGGTCATGCCAGTAGGCCTCTGATTGACAACTCAGGAAAATGTGTCATCCTGTGTCATGCACCTCGAAAGGAGTACTACAAGAAGTTCTTGTATGAAGCATTCCCTGTTGAAAGCCATCTTCATCACTTCTTGCATGATAACTTGAATGCTGAAATAGTTGCTGGAATTATTGAGAACAAGCAAGGTGCTGTTGATTATCTTACATGGAATTTTATGTACAGGAGGCTCACGCAAAATCCCAACTATTACAGTGTACAAGGAGTTAGTCAGAGGTATCTTTCTGATCACCTCTCAGAGCTCGTGGAAAATACATTAAGTGACTTGAAAGCGAGCAGATGCGTTGCAATTGAGGATGACATGGACATTTCTCCCCTCAATCTTGGGATGACAGCACCATATTATCACATCAGTTACACAACTATTGAACGGTTTTCTTCCTCTCTGACAGCTAAGATGAGATGAAGGGTCTCCTGGAGGTTTTATCCTCTGCCTCAGAGTATGCTCAGATTCCAATACATCCTGGGAAGGAAGAGGGGGTTCGCAGGTTAATTAATCACCAGAGGTTTTCTTTTGACAACCCTAAATTTACAGGTGTGAACCTTGCATTGGACCAGCCTGAAGTGCTTCTTTCCGCAAATAGGCTTCTCCAAGCAATGATTGATGTGATCTCAAGCAATGGTTGGCTGAGCCTGGCTCTCCTTGCTATGGAAGTTAGTCAGATGGTGACACAGGGATTGTGGAATACTGATTCCATGCTTCTACAGCTTCCTCACTTCACAAAAGAGCTTGCCAAGAGATGCCTGGAGCACCCAAAGAAAATTGGATCGGTGTTTGATTTAGTAGAGATGGAGGACGAAGAGAGGTGTGAACTATTGCAGATGTCCGGATCACATCTGAAGGATATTGCACCTTTTTTCAAACGTTTTCTCGATATCGATATGTCATATGAGGTACTCGAAAGTGACTTGTGCGAGCTGGGGAGGATGTGACATGACAGTCCTAGTGACTCTTGGTCGTGATCTTGAGGGGAGGACTGAAGTAGGACCTGTTGATGCTCCCAGCTATCCCAAAGCCAAGGAGTAAGAATGGCGGATTGTTGTTGGTGATACTGGGCATCATCTGTTGCTTGCGATTAAAAGGGTTTCCCTTCAACGGAAGTTAAAAGCAAAACTGGATTTTGCTGCTCCCTCTGAAGCTGGAAAGAAATCCTGTACTTGATGCGTGACTCTTACATGGGCTGTGATCAGGAATATACCTTCACTATTTTGGCCTGTTTTTCTGATTGAGTCCAGCGTCCTCTTCCTTTTTGTTAAATGGTAGTTTGATACTGACAGTTACTTCTAGTTTAGATATTTCCTGTTTTCAGTATAGTCTTCTTAACTATTGCTGGTCAAGGGGTAGTTATTTTCAGTTATTTCTCTATCAGACTAGAAACTAATCATGTGCGAAGTCTATGGCATCATGAAAGTAGTATTCAGAATCTCTGTCTCTCTAGATTCTAGAATTGCTCCTTTTGGGCTGAACGATGAATTGAAATCGCTTTTTTTTTTTTTACTTTGATCTTTTCATTGGACTCTAGCCCCAAAAAGCTATTCTCATAATAATCAATACCCCGGCACTAAATACACCGTTTTTCTTTTCAAGATCATTGTGAATTAAAATGAATTTACATGCATCTTAGTTAATACTCCTTCCGTTTCTTATTATAAGAGACATTTGATGTTTATAGCATGTTCCTATATATAAGAGGCACTTAAAGTTGCCTCTACTTTTTTAATGTTGATTTTCTATTTTACCTATTTATTGTCTCCAATTCA